GACTCCCCACGGGAAACACCGACTCAATACAAACCACAGCGGGTGAGCGATCACGGGCGCGATTGCAGCGGGGCTTCCGCTTCCCCAGCGGCTGTAACGGCAAAGCGGCGCCGTAAGACGGCAGAGGCGAGTTTTGACGCCCAGCCGGCCGGGGAGGCAGGAGCAGGGGCTGGAGCGGGGCACGGCAGCTCGGAGCAGCGATGGGGGACACCTTTATCCGGCACATCGAGCTGCTGGGCTATGAGAAGAGGTTTTTCCCCAGCCAGCACTATGTGAGTATGCAGAGACCTTCCGACAAGCTGGGGTGACAAGCCTAGCCAGCTTATTTCTTTAGAGAAACATGACCGACAGCCTCAGAGCCTTTTTTGCGGGGCTCATGGCTGGAGGCAGCCAAAGGCTAAAATATCCTGAACACCCAAGATTTTGGGCACATCCTTTGCAAGCCGTTGGTTACTTCACAGGCTTGGAAAAGGCTTTTCCCTCTTTGATTCCCTCTCGGCTTCATGTTTCTGTCCCCAGCCCATCCCACCGAGCTTCCCTTGCACCCAGCCTGCTCGCTGCCTGGGGTGGTGGGAGAAACTGAGCCACCCGTGGGGCTCCCCAGGGGCTTTGGACCCAAGATTTTGGGCACATCCTTTGCAAGCCGTTGGTTACTTCACAGGCTTGGAAAAGGCTTTTCCCTCTTTGATTCCCTCTCGGCTTCATGTTTCTGTCCCCAGCCCATCCCACCGAGCTTCCCTTGCACCCAGCCTGCTCGCTGCTTGGGGTGGTGGGAGAAACTGAGCCACCCGTGGGGCTCCCCAGGGGCTTTGGCAGCTGCAGGTGGGGGGTCCCGCTCCCCTGCAGAGCTGCAGCGCCTCGGCTCTGCCCCCCCAGGTCTACATGTTCCTGGTGAAGTGGAACGACCTCTCCGAAAAGCTCGTCTACCGCCGGTTCACCGAGATCTATGAGTTCCACGTGAGTCGTGCTGGGGGGAAAGAGGAGGGCGAGTGCTTTCCTGTGCGGGGGGTGAGGCAGTGGCCCAGGTTGCCCAGAGCAGCTGTGGATGCCCCATCCCTGGAGGGGTTCAAGGCCAGGCTGGAGGAGGCTTTGGGCAACCTGGGCTAGTGGGAGGTGTCCCTGCCCAGGGCAGGGGGTGGAACTGGGTGGGCTTTAAGGTCCCTTCCAACCCAAACCATTCTGTGATTCTATGAATTCCAGCTGAAATTGCCCCAAAATCAAACCTGGCTCAAAAGAGGCTTCTGGGTCCCAGTGCTTCAATCTCCTTCACCCTGTGAATGGGGACCCACTGGTCTGTGCTCCCTCGGCTGTTTTCTCCTGGTGTTGAGCCATCAGGTCCCAGCAGCTTGTGCCCATGGGCAGGGGGAAGGGGGGCAAGATGCAGGCAGGGGGTTGGGTGCCATGGGGTGTCCCCCAGTGCCATCCTCACAGCCATGCCGGTCTCTGCTCCGCAGAAAGCGCTGAAGGAGATGTTTCCCATCGAATCCGGGGACATCAATGTGGAGAGCCGGATCATCCCGCACTTGCCAGGTGAGGGGCAGGCACTGGGGCTGGGGCTGGCGGCTGAAATAGAAACTGCGGCTGGTTGGGAAATTCCCCGTGGGCTGAGCTCTGCCAGCTGCCTCCCGTGCAGGCACCTGGTGTGATTTCTGTTCTGGGCTTGGAATCAAAACCCCAGAGAGGCAGCAGCTTCTCCCAACACCCACCAGCCCTGCAGACCACATCCCTCCTCCCCAGAGGCTGGGCACCCCCAGGATGCTTCCCGGAGCATCCGCTGTGACCCCTGACCAGTGCACAGGGTCTGGCCTTGGGTGGCCTGAGCTGAGCTGAGTCCTGTTTTCCATCACCAGGATCGGTTTTAGTGCCCTTATGTCAACAGATATTCTGTAAGAGGAAGCAATGCAACGTCTTCAGTGACAGGGAGTGAATACAAATCCAAAGAGCTGACGCTTTGTCCCCAAGCAAGGTGCAGGTCAGCAAAATTCCCCCTTGTACTGAATTTCCTGCTTTAACAGCGGCAGGAAGGAGCGTGAGAAATAGCTGCGGGTTGTGGTCAACACCTCTCGAGGAGGAATAAACCTGCACCCCACGGCGGTGCCGGTGCCACGTCTTGGGGGGGGCCTCCCCCGGGGGCTGGACTGACACCACCATGCCGGGACCCTCCCCAGGCTCTGCCGCCGCCGTGCCGGGGCTGTCCAGAGCCTCCTCGGCCCATTTGGGGAACTGAAAGTGCTGGGGACAAGGCAGGTGTTGGACTGCTGCAGGGGGACAGGGGTGCCATCGGGTGCACCCCAACATGAGGGTCAGCACTGCCATGGAGCAGGGCCGCCAGTGGCATTTTGGACCCCTGGGGGCAAGAGCAGCTGCTGCAGGACGTGCCCTGTGGCCAAGGGAGGGGGGTGCATGTCCCCTGGCCACGGGCCGGGCCCCTGAGTCCCTCTGTGTGCCCCGGTGTCGTCACCGCGTTTGTGACCCAGCAGCTGGGCTTAGGCTGGGGGCAGATGGGGGACTTATGAAATGAAATGGGGTCAAATGGAGTTATCCCATAACTGAAATGGGGTCACATGGGGTCTTTTCCGGGCTTGCACGAGCTCTGCGCATGTCCCCAGGCTGCAGGGGATGAGGCCACCTGCACAGAGCTCTCCTCCACGCCGGCACCCGGCCACGCTCGC